GGGGAGGGTGAGGCTTGCATAGACTCCTGCAGCAGATGGCTATCAAAAATACGTTTTTCTCTTCCTTGGCATCAAAGCCTCTGCTATAACATAGGTAAATATCATGGATATCAGACAGTGGTATTTCTTAGAGGAACTCAGCAGCTGCCACCTAAGTGATCTGTGCAGCCAACCAGCCCAGTCCTCCTACGAAGTGGTCGTAGGTGAGAGCAGAGGCAGCTTTGCAGAAAGAACAATTGCACTGTGCTAATATTTGAGAGAACTAGCAAGAGGACAGAGGAGTTTGGAGCTGTGGTTTGATCCTGCACCCTGAGCGCCCCATCAGCTTAAAAAGAAGCTCAGCTCTGAGCTGTGAGTTCTGCTGTAGGAGAGACCTCTTTGCCCAAGGGATGTTTCTTGGGGCCACAAGCTGCACTTAAGAAGAGGTGACTGGGCTTTTGGGAAGTGTTCCAGGTGGAGGTAAAGGCCAAAACTTGCTCTGGGAAGGGGAAGGACTTGCAGCATCGAAAGCAAAGTTCTCGGCCTCCCCGTGGGAGGTGCAACTTGGTGATCTGTTTCTGCTCTGCTGAGTGCCCTGTGCTGGGCCAGCAATGTGGAAAGTCAGTCATATTGCTTAAAGTATGCAAAACTGCAGTGTGCCAAACAAGGAATGCCTTAAATCCTGTCATGGATGTGCTCTCATTCCCTCTTTCTCTCTCTCCCTAGGCCACGGATTCTAGAAATGGATAAAGAGGAGAACAGGCGCTCAGTTCTCTTACCAAAACATAGGAGACGGAGCAACTTCAGCTCTGAGAACTATTGGCGAAGGTCTTACGAGTACACGGAGGACTGTGACGGGGAAGAGGAGGATGGCAGCCCGGCCAGGAAAGTTAAAATGAGGCGACACTGAGGATTGCATTTTCCAGGCTCATGGAGCTGATGAGATTGGCCTCTGGTCTGTGAAAACTTTCTCCTCCCTCTGGCTATCTTCCATCTAGCTTCAGTTTTGGTTTTTCCTTTCAGGCTGAAGAGTAAACAGGAAGGATCTAGCAATTTGTTTTTATGAATGGAGGAATGCTGAGACATATGTAAGGATGGAACATGTCCAGTGCACATGGTGTCCTGAGTCATGGGTCAAATGGGCATCTCTCCCTTAGGAAGCAGATAAAGTTATGCCAGGCTATCTGTTGGGATTTCTTTTGAAAACACCAAAAAGTTTAACTGTTTCATTGCGCAAGATTCATGAATTGTATTTTTGGTTGGTTTGTTGTTTTTTTTTTTAATTTTGCTTTAACTTTCTTCCTTTCCGAATGTTCTAAGTATGATGTTTGACCCCAGGAGCGGAAACTCTCTGTGGTGGCCTCATATTCCTTGCTTCACCAAAGGGCTCCTTGGCCTGTTCTTACCTAGTTGTTGTTGGGTTTGTTTTAAGGGTGCCCTGCAGTAACTGGAAGTTTGAAGTTTTGCAGACCTCTCTTACTGCGATTGAGTTCAAAGGATTTAGGATGTTTTTGTTGCACTTTAGTACCAGTTTTAAATGCCGTAGGTTTTCTTTCCACTCCCTTTTCCCACGCCAGCATGGGCTCACAAATTTGTGTCCCTGTGTGCTGCCCTCTCCAAGAAGAATGTACTTGAGCTCTGGTTTCTCAGTGCTGGTCTGACCAGTGGAATATTTTGGTAGAGGAGGGAGAAAATGGGGCTGGCTTCACCAAGGCTGGCCTAGCATTGTCCTGAGGTCCATATTGGAGCCGCAGGGCTGCTGAGTGAGTGATTGCATTGAGTACATGCTGCTTCCCAGAGCTGGAGATAGCCAAGAGGAGTAGGAGACCCACTGTGCTTGTGAGGGCGCTTGCCTTGGGACCCCTTGAGAAGAGCTGTTCTCCACTGCCTGGGGGCCTGGCTTTGGGTCCCCTGCCCCTTTTAAGTGGAGATTGTTGAGGCACCTCAGCATCCCATCCCAAGGGACTGGCTGCGCTCTGCTGGCGCAGGAACAGGCGCGCCCGTGGCCTCGGGGGAGCCGGGCGGCTCGGCTGCAGTCTGTCCCCTCCGAGGCTGGCTCTGGGAGCAGGGACACTTCAAGGGTCTAGTTCAGCCCCAATTCAGTGCATTCAGCAGCTAGTGCTGCAGCGGTTGCTGGCCGCATCCTGGCTTGTTCGTGCCTGTGTTCCTGGGGTTGGGAGTTTTCTAATTGCTACAGAAAATGCTGGGAAGAATCAGGCGTTCGGCCCTGTGGAGTTAGTGTTAGAAAGTTAGTGTTAGTCCTCTTCTCCCACCCGGTTTGTGTTAGCCCAGACCAAAGCCTTGGCGTTTTTCAAAGTTTGGGGCCCAACACCATATTTAGAACCGTACTTTTAAGAAACTTCCTCCAACTGATTCTTTGAACCCAAGTGTTGCCAGTTGTAAGGAGTAGTCTTATTTTAAAATTTTTACTGCTTAGCCCTCCCCCAAATTGTAGTTTTTCTTAGTGTCGTGTCCCTCACACACTTCATGGTCTGCACGCTTGGCAATAAAATGATGTAATATATTTTGAAACCCGTTTGCTGCTGTCTTGAGGGGCTCCCAGTCAAAAAATCCAACAAACCAAAACCCAGGTGTTGTTCCCCAGAGTGCCGTTCCTTGGTGATTGAGCACGTTTGCTGACATCTGGGTCTCTGTGTCCTTTTCCTTCCCCGTTGACTTCTGCAGCTCCTGCCACTTGCCTGTTGTTGGGGTTACTGCTCAGGCTGGATCTAGCTGTCACATTAGCACAAAGGAAATTACCATCACCTTCAGCACAACAGATCTGCAAGGGGTTCATAGCTGAGGTCCCCGATGCCTGTCTCTGATCCTTTTTATCTGATTGCTTTCCTGGTAAGAGCCCCCGTCGGCTCGGTGCGGAGGTACGGGCACAGCCTTGCAGCCAGCCTTTAAAGGAGCCTGTCTTGTCTGCCCAGAGATCTGAAAGTTCAGGCTTCTGTTGCTTCTGAAACCTTTCAAAAGCCATTTTCAGACCATGCATAGTGTTTGAAGTGGTGTTCCTCACCCTCCCAGCTTTCTGTAGACAATCCAGGCCAGCTCTTGGCTCCAAACCCCCTGTTCCGGAAAACTTGGCATTCCCCCGCTAGCAAAACCACATGCAGGAAGCAGTGATCCCTTCTCCTCCTTATGGCTGGTGCAAACATCTCAGCAAGGTGGGGACCCGCTAGCAGGATGCCTCGCAACAGCTGTTTTCTAATTGTCTTTCTGGGTTCATCTTGGACGTGCCCTGTGCCCTCCTCTGTGTCAGGTGCTGCTGATGGCAGCGGTGGTCGCTGCCAGAGGTCTTGGTTCCATGCAACCTGCTCTTCCCCCACCACCAGCTCCCAATTTTACTCCTACCTCTGCAATACGGATACTATAACCTGGTGACTCAAAAATTGGAGGAAAACTGCCTTGCCGGGGCTGCTTCCTAGAGCAGGGCTCCCATGGGACAAGGCATTGGCTCTTATCTCTTCTAAAGGGTGAACAAGGCATCTTGACGTCTTATCTCTAGCCCAGTACCAACCATCACTTCATCCAGGTCCTTGTGCAGTCTGTACGCACGCAGGTATCCTTCCTGTCCTGGTTTGTTTTAGTATTCCCAAACACTGTGGTTGGGAGCTCTCCTCTCCTTCCTTCCTCCCTGCCCCGCATCTGTGCGGTGTGCCTGAGCTGGCAGCCATGGCTGGAGGGATGGGAGTTGCTCCTGGGCTCTCCAGCCACCATCTGTTCTCATGTGCGTTCAGTTTTCAACCCGACTGGTTGGGGCTTGACACCTTGGAGAGAAAGAGTGGAACACAACCGGTCTGACCTGTGCCATCTTTTGGGCCAGGAGTCCCCAGCATGTAGGCAGGCCATCTTCCCCACTTGTACAGACATTTTCTATACACACGGATGTATATGTGTAGATAACATGGTTTTTTAACTCTTTTGCACTGAACAACATCGGAGTGAAACCTTGATTCGAAACCAGAAGACACATTTTTCACGTGGATCCAGATGTCTAGATCCCTTTCTGTAACCTGTCTGGTAAAACTGTGGCTCAGAAATACCGGTGAGGCCCGTACCTGTTCTCTGTCACCAGCTGTGTCGGGCTTTGGGTCAGGCTGGTAGCGTGGGTCCGGCATGGAGGATGGAGGGTGGTAAGCTCCAGTTTGGCAGCAAAACTCCCCATCGGCTCTGTGGGACGGGCTCATGCACAGGCCTGACCCCGTTGGCTTTGTCATGTCTGTCCAGTCATGTGGTCTGACCTCCATCCACCCTCAGCGTGTCAATGTAACCCCCTAAACTGGGAATAAGGCTGTGTCCAACGTGATGATCCCACACACCCAGACCCACAGCCCAGACCATGAGAACTGTCTTTCCTAAGGAAGAGGGAGGAAGGTGGTGGTCATCCCTGCTTTGGTGGGGTTTGTCCCTGCTTTTCTGCAAAAAGCAGGAGGAATTGGGGTTTGTTACTGTTACCCATAACTCGAGAAGACTCGGTGATTGAACTAAAACTCTTGCATCGGTCGTGTGGGCTCAATATGTCCATGGGAAGAGAAGGAAAAGCTGTTTGCTGGGGGTAAGAGCTGGCCTAGGGAGGGGGTCTCTGTCTCCTGGCTGGCCTTGGCCTGCAGCTGCAGAGCCCAGCTTTCCACATCTGCCTCCACACCTCCTGAACTCTCCTCCAGCTGTTAGATGAGAGCTGTGACGCCTGGGAGCTGCCATCCCAGTCCCGAGGCTTGGCTCATCCCGGGGGGTCGCTGGGCCGTGGGGCTGCCAACCCGCCCTCCTGGCGCCTTTGGCTTTTGTCGCTGTTATTATCTAGCGCTTGCCCCTACGTGGTGTGAGCCCCATGGGTTGAAATGGCTGCCATGCTTCGGGGGGGCTGGGGTGTGGACCCCCGCCAGTGGTAAATAGTCTTTTATCTGCCAAAAGCGTTCCCTTTCCCCATTGGGAGGAGAAATGTTTGGCCGAGAAGCGTGTGTCTGCTCCTTCCCGCGCCCCTGCCCACACTTACAAGTTCTGGCTGACTTTAATTTTGTTTTTTAAAGATTCTAAATTTTTTTTGTTATGAATAAAAAAAAAAATAAAAAAGAAAGTGGCAATATTTTTTTCTGTAAGCTTTTCCTAGGAAAAAGCGTGGTTTGTAACAAAGTTGTACAGTTCTGAAGTTTGAGATACGAGAAGTACTGTGTGAAACGCTGTAAATGGGGCAGAGATTATTTTATGTACAGTCTGACACGGGGGGAATCTTTTAATTCTGGTTGATTCTTAGGAAGAATTTGGTTCTTCACTGTCAGGGTTTGGAATTTCATGGTTTCATTATTTTTTTTTTCTTGTATAGATTGCTGCATTAATTGAATAAAAGCAGAAAGCATCACTCTGCCTGCCTGTGTGGTGGTGCCGGTGGCTGGAACATGTGCCTCGCTTCCCTGTTGCCAGAAACGAGGTTGCAGGGAGTCGCTTCTAAATAAAGGGAGTCTCTGGCTCCTTGGGGATGGAGAGGGACAAATGCAGTGTCTGTCCCTCTTACACTGCCCTAGAAAGCGGGGACAGGGCTTGCTGCCCTCCTCTTCCTCCTCCTACTTTCCCTCCCTGGGTGCTGGGGAGCAAATGTGGGTGCTGTCACCTTGCAGCTCCTGCCCTGCCCCACCGCCCAGGCTTGCTGCAGTCAGTGCCTGGGCCCCAGACGGCCCCAGCACCCCAGCAGGGGGGCTGGACTCCATGCTTTGGCCTCACATGGAGCCCCTCACCCTCCCTGCCCTGTGCATTCCTCCTGCAAGATGCAGATGGTGGTGCATGGGTGAGCAGTGCCAGAGGGGGTGGCAGCGCTGGATGGGGTCTGCTGACCTCATATCGTGGCCTTCCTCTTTTTCCTCCTCAGAAAGCAATAAGCTCCTGCCTGATCTGGTGATGTCCTCTCCGTCACCCACCCTCGAACCCTGGGGCTGTGTGTGGGGTCAGTCCCCTTCCCTCCATCCATCTGGGAGCCCAGCACTGGGGCATGGGGTGTGACAGCCCTGAGCTCACCCTCTAGGGTGTTTTCCACCCCAAAAGCTCTGTCACCCCAATGCAGCATCTCCCCGGGGCTGGAATTAGTCAGCAGGGAGGGGAAGCCCTGCCCTGCCCGGGGTGACTCACCCCAAACCCGGGTGCAGGGCAGGGTGCACCCCTCCACCCTGTGCTGATGCTGTGGGGGAGCTGGGGCATGGCTCTGCCTGCCGCCATGGCGGGAACGAGCAGTTGCCAGCCAGGGACGGGGCCCGAATACTAATGGCAGGAGCTGGCAGGGCGCTGAGCAGGGCCCCACTCAGCGCGGCCGCGCCGGCACAGGGCTCGGGAGCTGCCGTGTCGTCGAAGCGCCCCGTGGCTGTGGGGCCTGTGGGCCAGGAGGAGGCCTTGAATCCAGGACCCCCCCTGTGATTCTGGGGGTCCTGGGAGCAGGATCAGCGGCCTGGAGCTGCCCTCGCTGCCCCGTCCCACACCCCTCCCCTAAACACCATCCTGGAGAGGAAAAAAAAGAGCCACGAAAGAAAGAGGTTTTAAAAAAAAAAAAAAGTATATATATATAAAAAAACAAAATAACGCGCCCACAGAGGGCGCCTGAGCTGGGGAACTACAAATCCCGTCGCCCTCCGCGGCGACGCATGAGCAGCGCAGATGGGCGGGGCCGCGCCGTGCTCGGCGCGCACTCGTGCGGTGATTGGTGGAG